TTTCCTCGCGTTATTTCCTTCATACTTTTTGATCTTCATTCTCTCTCGTACTTTCCTAATTGGTTCTTTGCTTTTTCTCTTCTCTTCTTTTCGCTTTGCTTCTATCATTCTTTCCCTCTCCTATTTTTTTTACTTCGCTTTTTCTTTTCTGTCCTTTATTTTCTTTCGTTATTCTTTTTTCTCTCTTCTAGTTATTTCCTTCTTTTGTTCTTTCTTTTCATATTTTTCATTTCCGATTTCTCTTTCTTATCGTTTATTTTCTTCCTTCGTTCTCTTTATTGCTTTCTGTATACCTTTTCCTTTTCTTCGTCTTCCTCTTTTTCCATTCTTTTATGTTTTCAGTACTTTCTCCTTACTTTGCTCTCTCTCTCACATTATTCTCTTCTCTTGACTCCTGTTGTCCTTCTTTTCTTTGTCCTTTCTCTCTTCTTCTCTATTACTTCCTTCGTTTCTTTGCTTTTCATTCCTTTCTCTTTCCTTTTTTCTTTCTTTATCTTTCCTTCCTAGTACTTTTCCTAGTTTTTTCCTCTCTCTATTTTTTTTTTGTTCATTCTTTCCTTGTTCTTCCTTTTGTTATTCTCTTTTCTTCCCTTGATGTTTTTGTCCTTTTTCGTCCTCCTTTGTTTTGCCTTTTGGTTCCTTCCTCCTTTGTATCTTTTTCTTCTTTATTCGTTACGTTATCTTGTTTGTCTTGCCTTTCTCTTTTGTCCTTGTTTCTTTCTTCATTCCTATTCTTTCTTTACTTTTTTCTTTTTCGACTTTTATTTCTTTCCTTTTCTTTTGTTTTTTCTAATTTTCTTACTTTCTCTTTTCTTTTATCTTCGTATTGTCTCTATTACTCCTACCTCTTCTTTTCTTTCTGTTTGTCTTTATCTTCTATTTTTTCTCTTCATTCTTCCTCTCTTCTTTGTCCTACTTCTCATCTTGTTGCTCTTTTTCTTCTTGCTCCTCTTGCTGTTGTTCTCTTTTTCCTTCTTCTACTTTTCTCTCTTTTTTTTTCTTTTTTTCTTCGCTGTTTTTTTTTTTTTCCTTGTCCTGTGTCTATTTTGGTTACCTTTCAGTTTAGTTTCTTTTCTCGTGTCTTCCTATCTTCTCTTGTTCTTTATTTTGTCATTTTACCTCTTCTAATGTTCCGTACTCTTTTCCACTACATTGTTCCACTTGTCTTTCTCGCTTTCTATTGTCTCATTTATATATCACTGTCTTTTCGTTGGTCTCTCCACTATTCTGTTTTCTCGTTTTCTTCTCTCTATTATCTTCCTAATTATAATTTTTGATTACTTTGTATTCTACTTATTTCTTTCTATTGTTGCTTCTTCTTTCTTTTTTCCTTCTTTTATGCTTTTAGTTTCTAGTTGGCTTTGTCGTTACCTTCTCCTGATCTATTACTTCTCCTTTTTACCCTGTGTCCCTTGTTTCTCGCTTTTTTCCATCTTTCTGCTAAACTTGTCTCTTTCCTTTCTCTTTCTTTTCTCCGATTTCCTTTTTCTGTTTTATTTTATTTTGTCTTCTTTTTTACTTTTTTTTTATCTTGCTTCCTTCTTTTTCGTTCTCTTGCCTGTTTTTTGTTTTTTTCTCTATCGTTTTTTCTTATTCTCTCTAACTTTTTTCTGATCCTGCCCTTTCCTTATGTTCTCTTCTCTTCTTTCTGCTCTTCTCTTTCTCCTTTCCTTTTCTCTCCTGTTTCTTGTCTATCTTCTTCATTTTTTTCTTCTTCTTATATCTGTCTCGCCTCTCTTTTCTATTCTTTCTTTTCGTCTTTCCTCTCCTTCTTCCTTATTTTCTCTTGATTGTTTCTGTTTGTTGTTTTTTCCTTTCCTTGTTTCGTCTTTTATTCTTTCTTTCTTTTTTATTTCGTGTACTGTCTCCTCTCTGACTTTGTGTTTTTAATCCTCACTTTGTTTTAATCTCTTCTATTACTTCGCCTTTTGCTTCCTTACCAATTTTTTATTTTTTGTTATCGTTTAACTCTTATCTTGCTTATTTTTTTATTGTACTTTTCCCTCTCGGTTCTTTCCTCGATTCTTTTGTCTTCTACTTTAGATATTTATCTTTTGGTTCTTTCTCTTTCATTTTGACTTCTGCCTTATTCTCTTGCCCCTATTTCGCGTTTGCTGTTCAGTTCTATTGGGTTTTCTGTTTTGTTTTTCTCATTTTCCTTCTTTTCTCGTCTTTAACTTTTTCCCATTCTTTTTTCCTTTACTTCCTTATTTGCGCCTTTTTTCTTTTTCTTTTAATATTTGTTTCACACCTTTTCTCATGTCTCTCTCTCGTTTATTTTCTTTCTCTCTTTCCTCTTTTTATTATCTTGCCTCCTCTTTCTGCTTCATTTGTTTTCTTGTTTTCTCTCATTTTATGCTCTCGTATCTCCTACTTTCGTTCTTCTGCTCTTTTATCTTTCTTCCATTTTGTCTTGTTTCCGCCTGCTATTACTTTCTCTCCCTTTTTTTTATTTTTTCCTTTCTTTTTCTCCTTATTCCTTCATGCCTTGTCCATTGGTTTCTCCTTCTCTTCTCTTCTTATTTTTGTTTCCTTATCTTTCCTCTTATCAGTTTCTTCTACTTTCTTTCCTTTCCTCGCGTTATTTCCTTCATACTTTTTGATCTTCATTCTCTCTCGTACTTTCCTAATTGGTTCTTTGCTTTTTCGCTTCTTTGATATTCGTTTCTAGTCTTTCCTTTTTTTATTACCGTTTCTTTTCGTGTTAGCCTCTTTCCTTCTCTTCCCTTCTGTGTTTTCTGCGTTTCTTGTTGTTTATCGCTTTTTTTCCTCCTTTCTCTTTCTGTTCTTTCTACTCTTTCTTGTTTACTATCGGGCTTTCCTCTTAATTTCTCAATTTTGCTCTGGCTTCCTGATTCATATTTATCTTTTCTCTTTTTTATCCTCCTCTCTCTTGTCTTTCTTACGTCACTTGTTATTTCCCTTGTTCTTTTTGCTCTCTTCTTACTCCTTATCTTATTCCTTCTTGCCTTTCTTCTCTCGGTTCTAGCTTTTCTTTTCCTTTTTCTTGCCGTTAATCATTCCTCTTTCTTGTTATCTCTTATTTTTCCTTTCTTTCTTCTTTTTTGTTATCTTGTTTCTTACCTATCCTTTCTTGATGTTCTCATCTTGTTATCTTGTTATTCATGTTGCTTCCTATTTTATTGTCTCTTATTGTCTCCTTCTTTCTATTTTCGCTTTTGTCCTTGTTTTGCTAACTGATCTTTTTTCTCGCTTCTCTTCTGTTTCTACTTTTTTCCTATCTTTCGTTACTTTCTTTATTCTTCCTTGTCTTCTTTTTATCTTTTTCTTCCTGTTCCTTCGCTTTTGTCTTCCTTTGACCTATCTATCTCTTGCTATACTATTACTATCTTTTTTTCCACTTTTGCTTCTTTTCCATTCTTGTTCCGTGCTTTCTCGTTCACTTTGGCTGCTATTACTGTTTGCTGCTTTTATCTTTCTTTTCATCCCTTGTCTCTCTCTCTTGTATTATTGACTCATCTCTTTTCTCTTTCACTTTCTCCTTCTTTTCTTTCTTAATATTTTCTTTTCGCTTTCTCCTTCCTGCCTTTTTCTTTTTTTTGCTTCTATTGTTATAACTATCGCTTATTCTATTCTACCTTCGCTTTTATTAGCTCTTGTTTTTCCTCCCTTTTTTGCCCTCTCTTCCTTATTTCTTCCTTTTTTTTCTCTCTTTCCTACGTGTCCTAGTCTCTACTCTCGTCTATTTCCTTCTGTTGCCTTGATTTCCTTTCTTTGCTTTCTCATTTTATTTCCCTTTATCGATGTTTTGTTTTCTGCTTTTGCTTTCTCTTTTATTTTTTTTTCATAATGAAGCTTTTCTCATTTCTACTTTATTCATACTTTTTTTTCCTTCTTCCTTATTGCCTTTCTTCCTTTCCTCTTACTTTTCTCTCTGCTTGTCCTTTTTTCTTCTTTATACTTCTGTCCTGTCGTTTCCTTTTTTCTCTTGTTCTTTCTCCTTTTTATTATCTCTTGTTCCAGTTCTCCATTCCTCTTGTTATCTCTCCTCTTTATCCTTGTCGCGCTTTCCTCTGTTCTTCTCTCTCCTCTTACTTCCTATTTCTTTATCCTTCTTGTCCTTCGCTTCTTTTACTTATCTTTTCCTTTTTCTGTTTTTCATGCTCTTTCCTTCTTGTTTTCCCCACTTCTTACTTCCTTCTAATCCCTACATTTCTCGCTATTACTCCCGCTTTGTTGCAGTCTTGCTTCCTTATTATTTCTATCCTATTTACCTTGTTCTCTTCCTTCTCTTTTATATAGTGTTGCGCCTGCTCTGCTTCTTGCTCTTTTCTTTGTTGTAGTTATGCTCCTGTTTGTTTCTTTCTTTCTCCTTCGTATTTTTCTTTTGCTTTCTCCCTATCTCGTCTTCTTCCCTCATACCTTTTGTTTTCCTGTTTTCTCTCTTTCTTCTCTCGTCATTTTCGTCTCTGTATTTTTTTCTTTGTTACGCTTTTTTATTCCTTTTATCATTCGCTTTCACTATGCTGCATTCTCATTCTCCTTTCACATTTTAAGTTTTTAGTGTTCTCTTGCTTTTCGCTCTTTTCTTTTATGTCTTCCTCCTTATTTTCATTCCATATTTTTATGTCTCTCTTTCGTTTTTTACCTTTCCATTCTCTTCTCATCTGTTATCTTCCTTTTTTCGCTTTTTTACCTTTTCTGTGCTGCTTCTCTTGTTGATTTTTTGCTTGTTTCTCTTCTATTTATTGCTTCGTTTTCGCTTTCCTCCTCTCTTCCTTTCTTTCTTGTCTTCTTTTTTTTCTTCTTTCCTGGCTTCTTTAGCGTTACTTTTTCTTTTCAATATCTATTGTCTCTTTCCCTTTTGCCTATTTCTTGCGCGTTTTCTACTTCTATTATTTCTTCTGTGTCGCTTTCTCTTATTATATGATGATTGTTTTTCTCTTCATTATTACTCCTTTCTATTTTTCCTCTCTATTTATTGCTTGTTGTTTATTACTTCTTCTTTTCGTGCCATATTTTTACCTATTTCTATCTTTTCTTATGTCCGTTCCATTCTTTGCTGATTTTGCTTCTTTCCTTCTTCATTGTTGTCTTCGTCTTGTCTTTTTATCTTTGCTGTAGACTTATTTCCTTCACTCTCTTTTCTTAGTTGTTTCTATTCTGCTTTTTTAATTCCGTTCTTTCTCTCATCTTCCTTAATTGCGTTTCTCCTTCTTTTTCTTACTGCTTTTCTCTTATTCTCTCCTCTTATATCTTGTACTCTTGTTTCTGCTTCTTTCATCTTTGTCCTCTTTTTGTTCTTCTCTTTCACTTTATTTTTTCTTTCTGCTTTTGACTTTTCTATTATCTCATTTATTTCCTTTCTCATTCTGCTGTTCCTTATTCTTACTTTATTTTTCCTCTTATTGATTTGTTTCTTATTGCATATTTCTTTTTTTCTCTCTTTTTCTTTTCATCTTCTTACTTATCTCTTTTTCCATTCTGTTTTTCTTTTGGATATTCTCCCTGTTTTTTCATTTTCCTGTTTTCCTGTCTCTTTATTGCGTCTTGCTTTAACTTTTATCTCGTTTATTATCTTCGTTTCCGTTCTTTGTTTTTCCTTTTTTTCTTCTATCCTTCCTCTCTCCTGTTCTTACTCCTTCTCTTCGTTCCCCTTGTTTTACTCTTTTCTCCTCTCGTTTCTTATTTCTGTCCCCTCTTCTTAATGACTTTCGTATTTTTCTTATGATGCATTCATCTTGCTGAGCATTCATTCTCATTTATCGCTTTATTTACATTCTTGCATCTTGTTGCGCTTTTTGGTCTTACTCATTCTTCTCTTACCTACTTGTTTTTCTTTATTTCGTATTCACTTGTTCCCTGCTCTGTATTTTTATCTCTCCCTTGTTTTCTTTTTATTGCTACTTCTTTATTGCCTTCTTATCTTTGCTTTTTTTCCTATCTCATCTCTTCTTTCGCTTTCCCTTCATGGTTATATTGCATTTATTACTTTGTTGCTTCTTCTGAGCTTCCTATTTCTTCTTCCATGTTCCCTTCTGTTGTCTCTTTTTCTCTTCATTTTTCTTCTATCTTGCTTTTGTTTGCTATTTTTTCCTCTTTCTCTAGCTGCTCTCTTTGCGTCTCATGTCCTTTTTTCTTTTGTCCATTTTTACTCTTTCTCTCGCTTTCTTTCTTTTTCTGCCTTTTTCTATTTACTGTTCTTCCTTTATTCATTTTGTTATCTCGCCTCTTCCTTCCTTTTCTTTTTCTTTTCCCGTATTGTCGTTCTCTTATTCTAGTTCTCTCTCTCATTCTACGTTCTATTTTTTTTTCTTCTTTAGCTTTTTCCCCTTCGTTTTTCCTTCCTATCATCTTTTCCGTCTCTACTTTCCTTTTCTCTTCCATTACATGATCTGTTTGTTATGCCTAACATACCGTTTTTCCTTATCATCGTTGCCTGTGGTTTGCGATGTTCTCTCTTTGCGTCCTTGCCTGTTCTTCGTCCCTACCTTTTGTTTCATTTCCCTCTTCCTTTCCCCCGTGCCTATTTATCTTGCTAGTCCTTATTTCTTTCTTCAGTCTTTCTTCCTTTTCCTTCCTGTTCTTTTGCTTTTCTTTATCGTTTTCTGTTTGCAGTAGCAATATTGCTCCCTTTTTTTGTTCTTTCTTTCACATCTTCCTTTTTTAGCTCGCTTATCGTTTCGTCTCGTCTCTCGTGTTTCTCTCCTATGTGGCTTGCCTTTGCTTCCTTCTATCTTCCCATTCCCGTCCTGTTCTTTCTTTCCTGTCTCTCTTTCGTCATTTTTATCTTTTTGCCTTCCTTCCTATGTTCTCTGTTTTCCTGTTATGTTTATATTCCCTCTTTCTCTTGTTTGTCCTTTTTCCTAACTTCTTCTTTTTGTACTACCCTATCGCATCTTTTTATCCTTCTCTTTTGCTTTTTGTGTTTCTCCTTCTTGCATTTTTTCTTGTCTCCTTTTTGTCTTCCTTGCCTATTTTCTTACCTTTCATTATTTCGCTTCTCTTTCTCATGACGTCTTCATTTCCTTTTTGCTATTCACTTGCTTCTTCCTTTCCTTCTCTGTAATACCTATCTTTTGTCTTAATTCTTTCTTACTTCTTTCCCTTTGCTATGTTTCTCTTCTTTTGTCTTTCTTCCTTATTTTTGTGCTTCTTCCTCCTTTCTCTTTCTTTTCTTTCGCGTGTTTCGATTTTCTCTTTTGTGCATATCTTACTCTCTTCTTTGTTTTGTTATTTTCTCGTCTATTTTATCCTGTTTACTTCTGGTTCCTGTCTCTATCACTCTCTCGCTTTTCCTGCTACTTCCTTTTCTCCTGCTGCCTCTTGTTTATACTACTTTCTCTTTACTTTTTCATATTGTATCATTGGCTCTTTTATTCTTTTCTCTCTTCCATTCCTTCTTTTTTTCTTCCCTGTTGTTCCTTTCTTTCCTATTCGTTACCTATTTTTCTTATAACACTTCTCTATTGTCTTCCTATTGTTTCTTCTCTTTAGCTTCCTTCCTCTTTTCCTGCTATTTTCTGTTCTCTTACTTATTCCCTAATTATTGCTGTATTTGGCCTTTCATTTCTTCCTTCTCGTTCATATCTTCCCTGCTGCCTTCTTTATGATTTCTGTTCTTGTATTTTACCTTTTTTGCTCCTTCACCCTGCTCTGTTACTCATTTCTAGCTTCTTTCTCCTTCTCTATTTTTCCTGTCATGCCGTCTTTTACGTTTCTTTTCTTCCTCAGTATCTCTTTTCCTCTTCCCAATTTATTTCCTTATTTTCGTCACTTTCGCATTTCTCTTCTATGTCTCTTTCTTCTCCCTTCCTTGATTCTGCCTGTTCTTGCTTTTCTTCTTTCTTCTGCCTATCATCTGCTCTATCCAAGTCTCTCGTTGTCTTAATTCTTTTTTTCCTTCTTTCTGTTTCCTTATTACTGGCTCCTTATTGCTGTTCTCTTGCTTGTTCCTACTTACTATGTTGTTTTGTCCTACTTGTTGTTGCTGTCTACTGTCCTATTGTCACTTTGTCCTTTTCGTCTTCAGTTTTAGTTTCCTTTAGTTATCCTTCTTTTCTCTCTCTCTTTCTTTCTAATTTCTACTTCCTACTCCTTTTTCTATCCTCTTTCCTCCTCTTTTACCTATTCTATCTCTCTCTCTCTGTTATCCCTTGTTCGCCCTTGTTCCTTCTTATTGTTCACGTCTGTTCCTTCTCCTTTATCTTGTTAATCTTTGCTTTATTTCCAATCGCTCGTATCCCTAGCGTTTCCCTCTTCCTATACTTTCTCCGTCTGTTGTATTAGCTCTATTTCTTTCTTATTGTACTTCTATTTTCTCCTTACTTATATTTATCCTTTTCTCTCAAGCTATTCCTACCTCTTTTGCTGTTTTTTTTGTTATTCCTCATTACCTTTGCTGTTCCTTATTGGTTCTTCTTTACTCACCGTCGTTACTGTCGTCATCTCATTCTTGCCTTTTGCTGTTTTACTATCTACCTTCCTTTACCCTTATTTCCCTCCTCTTCCTTCCTCCTCCTTGTTATCTCTTAACTGTTTTCCTCACTTCTGTCCGTTGCTTATCACTTGTTAATTCTCTGATTGATGTCTCTATTTCTGTCTTCTCCTTTTTTATCATTGTCTTCTTCCTCGCTTTTCTCGCCCTTCTTGTTTCCTCTCTCTCACTGTTTCTCTCGTTCTTATTTTGTTCTTGTCCTTATATCCATTTCATTCTTTAATTCTTTACCTGTCGTTCTTGCTTCCTAGTTTCTCCCTTCACTTCCTTGTCGTTACCTGCACATTGCCTTTCCTGCTTCTGCTGATTCTCTTTAGCATTCTTGCTACTCCTGTCGCTACATACTATCTCACTCTCTGTAGCTCTTCCGACTCTCTTTAGTTCTATATCCTTTCCATATTATCTCCGTTCTCCTTTCGTCCTTCTTTCGTTTTATCCTTATCATTCATTTCTCGCTTGCTGATAGTTGCGTATTTCCTATACTTTCTTTGCACTATTGCCTCATCATACTTGTCGATCTTTCCTTCTTCCTTCCCATTTTGCTTCCTCCTGAATTTTTTTTTTCCGTTTCCTTCTTTCTTACTTTATCACTGTTGTCCTGCTTTTGCTGCTTCTCGTATCTTTCCATTCTACTCGATATCTTCTTCCTTTCTTCTTCTTTTACTTTTCAATTATCCTTTTTGTTAATTTCTAATATCTTTTGTTCTCGTTTATTCCTCGCTTGCTTCTTTTCTTATGTTTTTTTTCTCCAGTTACTACTTTGACCGTTTTTCTTGCTTTCTCTCTTTTCTTTCTTCGTACTGATCCCTTTTACCTTTGTTGTTTTTGTCCCTGTTTCTTTCTATGTTATTTCTTCCTTTTCCACGTTCCTTACTGTTTTTTTTTGCTTCCTTCTAGCTTCTTTATTCTTTCTTCTCTTCCTGGTTGTTCCTTATGCTTGTCCTCCCTGGTTCCTTCGCATCTATTGCGTTCTTCTCCCACAGTTCCTTCTTCTGCCTTTTCTATCTTTTGTCTATCTTTTGTGTCCTGTTTCCTTACCTGTCATGCTTTTTCAATTTTATCTCCTTGTCTTCTCTTACCTTGTTCTCCCGTTCCATATTTCCTAAAGTTGTCCTATCCTGTGTTTTTAGCTTGGATCGCTCTCCTCTCTGTACTATTAGCATTTCCTTCTCTTTCCCCATTGCTTCCCTCTGTTATAGCTTATTATTACTTCCTCTTCCGTCTTCCTTGATCACGTTTTCATTCCTGATGACCTACTATTTTTTCCTAATCCTTATTATTTTCCCTTTTCTTAATCTTCTCTTAATTCTTTCTTGCTTTCAATGTTTCTGCCTTCAGTACATTTTCTCGTTTTGTTCTCTTTCCTTCCCTCGTTATCATCTGCTCGTTGGTTTCTATTTTTTACCCTCTTCCTTTCTTTGTCTGCTTCTTATTTTATTTTTCTATGTCTTGTTTTCGAAGGTCTCTTTGCTTTCTTACTTTTGCGTCTTTCTTATTTGCCTTTTCCTATTCACCTTGTTCCTTCTCAATTCTTCTCTCCCTTTTATCGCCTATCCTGTTAGCTCTCTCGCCCTTGTCTTACTTCCTATTTTTGTTTACTTTTTCTTGTATTTGTTTGTCAGTTACTTCTCCCTACTCTACCCTTCGTCCCTTCTTTGTTTCTACCTCCTTTCTTCCTCGTACCTCTTGCTTCTTATTATTACTTGTCCTTGCACTTTTCGCGCTTTGTTTCCCTCTTTCATTTTTTCTCCCTATTGCCTGTTTCCTTCTTCCTATGTTCTCTGTTTTCCTGTTATGTTTATATTCCCTCTTTCTCTTGTTTGTCCTTTTTCCTAACTTCTTCTT